GTAATTAAAAAATAAACTACAATTCTCCGCGCGCCCGCACGATATAATTACTACAAGAGTGACTCAAGAGAGACATAATTCATACCGAAGCTACATAATTACAAAATTACCAGCGACAATTACCATCCTCAGATGAGGTTAATTAAAAATCTACATCATCTCAATTTTTAATTTTGACATTATTTTGATCCCATTCATCATTAATCTCACTTTCTCTTGATTCCTTGATACATTTGGGATTAGGTCGTTAGGAGACGAGCAATAACTGATTATGATATCAATCAAAATATGTTAAACCAGAGCGACATTTGGAGTCGCATCCAACCCCTAACTAAACTATCGCATCATGGCAGGAACGCCGTCATCTTGTTATGAGACGAGCGGATCGAGTGCCATCATAACCGATGGTACCCTCGAGTGGCATAATGCATTTATTTCATCGGTTAGACACCCCTGTTGCGTTGAAAGTGCCACCCCGTGGTGATGTGACACACTACTCCCAGTTGTGTAGATAGGTAATGTCAAAGGAATATATTCAACTGAACTAAACAATACTAACATTTTTTTTAGTTCCTCACTTCCCAGCGGGGGTTTTAATAAAACTTTAGTCTTCTAAGTGATGGATCACTAAAACCCCGAGTACTTTTAATTCAATCCATTTGATTAACACCCTCATGAATTTTGACTATGGCATGTATGTATGGACTGTGACTGATTGATGCTCTCAATCTTTCAATCTCAAAGTTCATTTAAACTCTAATTTCGAAAATTTACGACTGCGTCCCTATCCAGGCCGCAGTTTATGATGGATCCGATGTGGATTTCCTTTCGCGCTGAAATTTGCTCCAGTTTTCGCAAACCGCCGACGTCTTCATCGCTGTTAAATTTTAAGACCCTCGTTATGTCGTAACATTATTTAACGTTATTTACATTTCTGCCGGCTTTCTTGCTCATCGAGAGGCGGCGAGAGATAATCGCTTCGTTTTGCAGTTTCGTTTCGGGGCTGGGAGCCGGAGACGCTAAAATTCATAACAAACATCGTAAAAACCAACGCGCGTAGAATCTCGAAAGTGATGCATCCGCGCGCGCGGTGGAGGCAATGAAAGCTGCGCCGCGGTGCGGGTGGAAATTTCGGTCCAAAGTTGAAATTTATGTGAACGACCCGGCCACCAGGCGCGCCTTTGCTGCTTCCCGAATCCCTGGGACTAAATAACTATTTATGGCGTCCATCATCTTGGAATTACGTTAAAAAGTTCACAAAACTCAAACAGACGTTTAACCTTTAACCGGAAAAATGTGCACAATGTTTTAAATAATTTCTTATAAATAAATGTGTGGAGATATTGCCGTGCTGTGTGTATTCGTGGGTGTGTAGCGAAGATGAAAGCTCCAAGCACCGTTTTGCGTGCACTTTATGGTCGTAAGCTCGCGCGCGCGCTGAGATTCCGTACGCGATGAATGCTATATTCACCGTGTGTGATTTGCGACATTTTATATGCATATCTCGGGAAGAATGCTGGACGCACGGAGTTACTCGTATATTGCAAACATTGTCGGCGCGATGCGTATGGGTGTGTTTCGCTATGTGTTAACCTTTAGCTAACATTTCATCCAAGTTTACTAGCGTGCGAATCTAGGAAATGTAAACATTTAATTTTTAGGTGAAAGTCTACAAATCCGTATTTCGAATTGCTAACACTACAACTGTGCAAGCTTATAAATTAGTAATGCATAGTAGCAAATCATGTTTGAGGTTAGGATATGGTTTGAGGTTGGGTGGAAGGAGTTGATTTTCGGTATGGCTTGTCACATGACAACGATATGCATTATTCGTCGATGCACCCTAGAGCTACGAGCTTCGATGACGCGACATTCGCATTCATGACATTATGGGAATTATCGAATAGTGTGCAAGACGGCGCACGGCGCACGATGACACCGACATCGACTAATATCCTCCAGATTGTTACCACTTACAAGCTACAAGCTAACGATCAATATTCATTTTCGTCTTGGCATCATCTCAAACTATGGTTTTATCTATTTATTTATGGGCAGTCAAATTTATTAGTAACTTGCTTTTGTCCGCGACTTCGTCTCGGTATTGTTTAATAAAAATGTAATTTGTTTTTACTCTCTTGTTCTAGAAGTAGTAGGTATGTGTTAATTCTATCAATAAGATTCGCATTTTTATTTTAAAGAAATTAACTATATAAAGAATTGCGAATAGTGCACTTCAGCGCGCCATCTCGTATTCAACTATTTAACTATAACTATGATAGAATCTCAATGCCAACTTTTATCCTACAGAAAAGGGCTGTCTTTAGGGTTTTCCAGGCAATTATTCGAAATTTTCCCGCCGTAAAAATCATCCTTGGACTTTAACAAACATTTAAAAAAATGAATTGGCAAAATTGGTCTAAGCGTTGTTGAGTTATGCACTTACCAACAGACTTTGCCATTCATTTTTATATTATAGAATATATAGAAGCATATCTTTGCCTTCAATGGCAGAATAAAACAAAATTTACTTCTTTCATTTCCTCTACTAGGGTTCAAGAAACAGTGGCAATAGAACCTAACAATTTTTTGTTCAAAAAAACAAATAAAAATTTGTAATCAATTAATCTACTTAATTCCCTGAGTATAACTAATCCACAATAAAGATGACGTGTGATGATATAATTAGCCATAGCATTGCCTGTTTGGTTAAGCATTGGTCATTTGGTCAAAGTTGGAAATTACTGGTCAACCGAAGCAATTCCGACAATTCGCATTTCCTTGATGGTCCTTGATGGCTCTCGATGTCCTCAATGCACTCTGGGCCAGCTGGGGGACACCGATTCACTTTGGCGGCGAATGTGTTGGTCATGTTAGATGTATGAATGCACCCGATGCGCTCGTCCGCGGCGCTCGTTATGGCCTCGCTGGCCTGTTATTGGAGTTGTTGTTTGTGCACCGCCGCTGTTGTCTGCGACACATATTGTGCGATCATACCGCGATCATTCCGCACTTGCTACGATGACGATGATACGAGCAGTTAAATGCAGTTCGCCGACTAACTTCCATGCTCTCAACTTAGTTGCGAACTGTTGGACTTGACACCGAGTGGTCAGCGTGAACTATTCAACTAATTCCTGGAATGCGGCGCGGATAATTTTAGCCATGACTAATTACATGCAAACGATACAACTATAGAAATTTCCATACTAACAAAACTGTTAAATTTTTTTCTATTGCAGAAAAAATATACTATCAATGATTGATATTGATGGCATGATGACATGATGACTGACTGACTTGAGCAGTCTTTGAGCGTTTGAACCTGCGCCGAACAATGCCCGAAATTAAGCCGGATAATCAATCAAGCGATTGGACCGGCCTGAAACCGGTCGTCGAAGGCCCAGGTCATGATTTTGTCGATGCTTAATAGGTGTATTAATAATCTAAAAGTCAATCATCGGCGTTTCTTAGCGGGAGAATACCTGCCCAAACACATTAGGATTGAATACTCCAAGAAACTAAAACAATAGAACGTCAAAAATCAAAATCATCCAACTTTTTATGTGCAGTCATTCAAATCTTTGCATTATCATCATAAACAGAATTAAACCGTTGCCAAAACCTCAAAAACAAAAAAAAAATAAAATTTTTATTGAAAAAATATTAAGAAAAACATTTAGTGGGTCAATACAACCAATCAGTAGTTATAAATAATTCATGTACCTTAAGCTATAAACGAACATTTTAGTATTCTACCTTCGCATTCATTATGTCGAGGTGGAAAGCAAAACATTTCATGATTAATAATTAAACCCTTTTTCCATTTCCCTTTAACGATTCACAATTTTACTAATGACTGTAATGACCAATTCGTGCACCAGGGTATTAATAGGAAGCAGGGGCCACCTTTGAGCTCAAGTGCTCAATCAATTAAATTTTAAACTCAATTGTGAATTAATTTTTTTTCTCACTTCCGTATTTCTTAAAGGATTAGCGCATACTTATGTAAATAACGCGCTGTGCTAATGAGATCTAACGAATTAATTGTCGTTGGCGCAGTGAGATTTTAATTATTAATTATCTTATTAATGACTGCACTCGACGCAACCGCTCACTTCGGTAAGAATTAGTAAAATGGCTTATTAATTAGTGGAAATTAATTGCGGTGGTATTAGTTTACGTAATTGGCATTTTTTATTAAAAAAATAAAAAAATAAAACAAAACAATTGTTTTTTATTTATTTCGGTATTTATTTATTTCAATTATCCGAAAGACATTTATCACTTTTTTTGTGCGTTCTTTTTAAAGCTCCATAAACGTTTTAGTAGATGGTATTTACATTTTATTCACATTTAAATTACGATTTGCATTCGAGGTCGATTATGCGCGGCCCAGATATTTACATAAATAATTACACAAATTATTATTTAATACAAAATCGGGTGCCTCCGGTACCTACGCTTCGAAATCGAATGGGGAGCAATTAAGTTGCTTCGCCGTCGCGTTGTCGATCGTTATTTAATTTAAAATTTCGTTCATTAATTTAATGTCTCGAAGCGACTCTCGGAAGCTCTCTACGCCGTGACTTCGCCTGCGATCTGCGACCCACTGTGTACGCATACAGACTTTATTATTATACTACGAGTACAAGTCCTCTTATTGCCGTTGGTCAATATATTAAGGCTTCGACGTGGAATTGTATTGGATCGTTTGAGTTGATGGGCTTTTTCGGTTAATTTTCGATTAAACCGCTGCTGCGCTGTTCACATCGCCAATAATTCAGCAGCGTATTTAGTGTTTTAACTCCATCGATTACGCCTTGCGTTTTCTTTTGTTTTATTTTATTGAAATAATGTATTGCATTAATGAAATGTTTAAAGTCATGAGGTTTCTGTGGTTGTGGCTGTAAATGGTTTGTATTGCGCGTGCGCGTGTACCGTTGTTCGTTGTTGCAAGCAGTGCGGAACTCATGCAACTCAGCATTTATGCGTTTGTGCATTTGTGTTGTTTGTGTGGTGTGCTTTATGGGCGGCTTTTAAGTGTTTTCAGTTAATATCTTTTGTTAATTGTTAAATATTAAACTAACGATGCGAAGCGTTTGGGACAAAATTACTGGTATGTACTTATAGCTTATTGATGTTTCATTGTATGCTATTGCGCGTAACTGTAAGTGCGGAAAATGAGGTTATGAGAAATTAAATCAGTTGGCTTTTCTAAGTATAGTAGGGTTTTATAAATTAATAATGAATAACAGTTATATCTGCAGTTTGTTTATGTTGGTTCATGAAAATGTACAAGTGTTCTTTCTGATGTTGCTTAGAGTTTACCAAATCAAGCGTTTTTTTGTTATTTTTTTTTTGAAAACTTGTATCATAACTACAAGACACATTTTAAAGCTTTTGGATTTTTTTAATTTTTATACTAAATATTATGAAAATGTAATTCGTTCTTACTTTCTTGTTCTAGACATAGTACCTATGTGTCAATTCTATCAATAAGATTCCCAGTTTTATTTTAAAGAAATTAATTATATAAAGAATTGCTAATAATGTACTTTAGCGCGCCATCTCGGATTCAACTATTTGACTACAACTATGATTGAATCGCAATGCCAACTTTAATCCTAAAGAAAAGGGCTGTTTTTAGGGCTTTTCCGGCAATTATTCGAATTCGAATTCGTAAAAACCATCCTTGGACTTTAACAATCATTTAAAAAAAGAATTGGCCAAATTGATCTAGGCGTTGTTGAGTTATGAGCTTACCAACCGATTTTGCGATTCATTTTTATGTTTTAGATATTTTATCTAAATCATACTGAGTTACTATAGAAGTATTTTATATTTTACTGAACAAAATCCAACTTTTAAAATTGTAAAAGTTTTTGATAGTTTTTGAATATGTAAAAAAGCATTTTTCAAAATGATCTACCCAAACTTTATAATTGTAACAGATTTAAATTTAATCAAATTTTTAATGCGAAATTTTTACCAAAACATTATTTAGTTACTGAACACCGTGATTATTTACAATTATTCCTCATTCAACCCTTTTAAAATAATGGCTGGGATTAACAGCTTATGCATAAAATAGATAAATAATCCATAACTTTATTTCAAAAATTGAAAAAAGATTAATGTGTTGCCCTCATTTTAACAATTTGAATAAAATTTATTGCCCTAACAAAAACATCTTTCAAGCATTTAATAAAAGTAAACTTTTTACTCGTTTCCAACCATATTACTAACTTTTTTACGATGTACCGCGTTTTTTCACTTAATCATTCCGCTCTCTTTCATTTTCTTACTGTTTTGTGGTTGAGGTTAGTTGAGCATCGGGAAAAAAAGTAATGTACCAACTAACTACGTACTCGCTAGATTCTCTAGCATTATTCGCTATTTTTTGCGCTCATAAAAAGACCGTTTGCGGCGTCATTATATTCATATATGACGCACTTAACCGTCCGCGGTCGGCTATAGACACTCGTTCAAGACACTAGACCAGCAGGACTAGATTGGGAAGACTCACTCAATATATAGACTTTTACGGCGGTGTCTTCCGTCTTGGAGGGCATGCTCCAACCTGCATCAGAATCTAATTTCGCGCCGGCGATGAAGAAAAACGTCGTTGGACGTCGATGCGTGACGTTTTTCGCTCATAACTGAAATTCTTTTAATATTGCTTTCATCGTCGCATTCTTTTAGGGTTTTCTAGTGCTATGGGCACGATAGTGGCTACGTGGTTAGAGTTTTAAAACGTGTTGTGCTTAAAGTTGCCTATATTTGCAAATACTCCAAACTCAATTTAACCTCAAATATGTTTCCAATAATTACTAACTCCACACTCTATAATTTTGTAAATACACCCCTGAACATATCCACCCTTAAAAATGTCAAAATTTTAATTAACTGAAAATTTTCGTCGGTGTTATTTTCTTATGAGTAATATGACTAATGCGCAGCTAATTAACATGTAACATGCAGGAAATCAGCAGGGGGTGATTTCGAATTCCGGTTCCAGTGGCACGCACACACAGGCTTACACCGGGCTTAATCCGTGTAATTTAAAATCGCCACTGGCATGTTGGTGTGTTGTTTTTTTTCGCCGGTCGCGAAATTCGTGCATGAGCATGACATTACTGGCGCACGCCTAACGCAATTAGTTTCGCATTAACATTTTCATTTCTCAACACATACTAATCAACTAGTAACCGACATTTGCTACATCGCCTTTAATTTTTAATTTGCTTATTTTTAAAATATTTTTTTGGTATTAGACTATACACATTGTATGTATTGGGTGCATTTTCGTCTAGAATCGCTGGAAAATCGAGCCGGAAATGTTTGTGGGAGTGGGAAATGATGCGGAAAAGCGATATGCTATCCGCAACCAACTGGCGAGCTAACGCCGCAGTATCGCAGATTATTTTGTCATTAAGAACGAATTACTCCTGCGGAAAGCACGCGGAAGCTCAACAACGAAACTTCGCCCGACTAGCATGCATCTGAATAAATTTCAGATCAATCCCGCGCGCACAAAACTAGTTATCAAAAATCGCAAATCTTTAAAATGCGTTTACGATTCGTCATGATACAGCAATTTCTATTGGAATGATTGTATTGTTTGGAATGGTATACCTACCATTACCAATGTAATGGATTATTAGCATTATTATGTTGGTGGTTTGAGGTACGTAGGCATTCGTCGCATAATTGATGCATTGTTGGACGTTATAGAATTTCGGTTGCGGTCGCTATGTGTCTGAGTAATGCCATCTGCTGGCGGATAGCACCCAATCTAATAAGCGTAGCTGTAACCACTAAAACTGATTAAAACACTTTTTTAACACGGCATACAGTGGTCTCATTCACAAGGTGATTATTCCTCTGGAATCAATTTATTTCAACGCTTGCGGTCGTAATTCTTATGTTCTCATGATCCAGGTGTGATCTGGGTGTCCTATTTCGTGTCCTCTCAATTTGGCACGTTCGTAGCTGCAGAGTGCAAACGTTCAAATTGCAAATCAAAAACGCGACGCAAATTGCGACGACCTCAGTCGGATTGAATCCGCATGCGCGGATCATTTTATTCGCTGCCACCATTAACGCCGAATCGTGTCCGGCGTGATCTACAGCAATGTCGTGACGCTCGTTCTCCCAAACTGGCTGTGCCATTGAAAATCAATGAGCGAATACGCTGTGAACGCATCGGTTATTGATCGGCATGATCATGATCATGGGAAGGAAAATTGGGTAAATATGTTAGTAATACTATCATAAAGTCACGACTTCAGACGTAACAAGATACTCAACACACAAACACAATAAACTTGTCCGTTTTTAAAGGTGATGCATCAATATTTCGACGTTTTTAATGAATGAAGATGAACATGGTAGCAGTTAGAGCAAATATGCTGTGTGTGTTTGAGCGCGTCGAAAATCGATTGTCTAATCAAACTCGTTCGCGTTTGCACATCATTAATAATGTCTATATGCGTTTAATAATGAATTGTTTGCCGACGGCTTCGCGTGTTCATCGTCACACCGAGCGAGTGTGTCTCGATGCGGGCAAACCAAACATCACCATTATCACAACGCTCAGACTCCAAAACTCTCCCAACCTGCAGATAGATCCAACCACACACTCAGACTTCAATTCAGACTTTCGGTAACAAGGTAGGGTTGTGACAAGCGTCGCTCTGACCAAACCCTGGTTACTAATTAAGTAGTCGTCGGATATGATTTCATTGACCTCCAGTTTGAATTTGACATGGATCTAGTACTAATTTGAGGTTATGCTGAATTGATTAATTCAATAAACAAAAAATGAGTTTAGTGCGATAATTTATTGAAAAAACTATGGTGTTAATAAAAAATAGAGTCGAAAGTTCACACGTCGCGTTTGTGTGTATAAGCGATACCACAGTTGGCAGCAGTGATATGTCTAGCCGTGGGAGTTGGGGAGTTTGGGAATATTTGATGCGGCGCAAATGGTAATAGTTTTCATTCGGCGCACAGTCATCATGATTTATGTATTATTTACCAATTCGCTACCAAACACTTCAGACACTTTATACAAAACCTAAATTTATAGCTATTTAGTGATTTTATAAAATTTTATGAAATTTAAAAAAAAAAAAAAAATTTATTTTGATATTCATTAAAGTTGAAAATACGTTCATGCTTGTTCTGAGCTCATATATCATTATGTTACCAAAAGTTGCACTCCACGTGGAGCAGTACGTGGCAAGTGTTTAGAGTTGGTGTGATCTTTTGCTCTGTTCTGTTGCGGGCGTGAGTTTCTAGTTCTGCGCGCGTTTTGCGTACCGATTCGCAGGTTATAAATCATTCCGACGCTCTTCTTTTTTCCATTAGTCAGTTTAGTCAGTTTAGAATTTCACAATTTCGCGCAGAATTAATGACCAACGGTGTAAAACTTTTGCACGTTGACAATGATTCACTTCAGGTACAGAATATAAGTTTACGATAGCCACGCCATCTAGCTATAACTCCATAGATGATATCTACATTTACCTAATCTATAATTAAACCATTTAGTTATTTAAACATTAAAATGTTTCGACTTAAGTCGACTTAAGTCTTGCTTTTTTACGGCGGCGCGCCACGAAAATTAATAAATAAAACCTCTTTTATCGTTCGACGTCTAACGTGCTCTTTAATTATCTAATAATCTATTAAAATCAAGATAGTGTTTCACGCACCGCTTGGATTCGAGCTTATCGGGCCGACCCATCGCGATTCGTCGAACGATGCTAAACGCTCACTCTCCTTCCACGTAACCTAAGTGAGCTTAACTCAAGTTTAAGTTTAAACCTTGACTTACGGAGATATGTAAAATATTCTTTCGCTTAGATATCGACATGTGAATGTACGTATCCCAGTGAATTTAAATTATTTCGGTCGTCGCCGTAGTTGGAGGGCTTAATTCCATGGCGCGACGCGTAATAGGCAAATTGTAAGTGCGGCCTGGTCGAAAAATAAAAAAGAATCAGCCTTCGAATAACAGACGCGCACTGTAATTACATAATGACACAGATGAGGAGCGTCCCGAGTCGGAGGATCACCTTAGGCGTCCAACATCAGAGGAACACAACGCTG